CAGGTTCCTGATAGTGATGTGAATGCTACTGAGGACCGAAGGTACCCAAAAAGAATCTCTCGTAAACCGACGTTTTTTAACGAATATGTTTTGACCGACTCATCTGATTCAGATATTGATTTTGCCATGTTATCTTTAAATGTAGAGTCAGAGCCAGAGACTGTTTCCGGAGCATTGTCTGCACCAAATAAAGATCAATGGATTCTAGCTATCCAAAGGGAGCTTAATGCTTTTAGACAGAATAATGCTTGGGAATTAGTTGACAGGCCTGCTAACACCAATATTGTTAGAAATAAGTGGGTGTTTAAAATCAAAAGAGATCAGAGCGGCCAAATTGCAACATATAGAGCTCGTTTGGTGGCAAAGGGGTTTACTCAAAAATATGGAGTTGATTATACTGAAACCTTTTCCCCTGTTGTCCGTTTTTCTAGTTTGAGACTTTTGTTTGCAATGGCAGCTGAATTGAATCTTGAAGCTGATCATCTTGACGTTGAAACTGCATTCCTTAATGGTCACCTGAATGAAACAATATATATGTGTCAACCTGATGGCTTCGAGGAGCCTGGTTTAGAAAATAAAGTTTGCTTGTTAAAGAAAGCTATTTATGGACTCAAGCAATCATCTCGTTTGTGGTATGAAAAAGCCAGTAGAGTTTTGAAAAAATTAAACTTTGTGCAGTCTGAGATTGAACCCTGTTTGTATTTTAAAGTTACAGATAACTCCATTGTCATCGTGGCTCTGTATGTTGACGATTTTTTCTTGTTCTATAATAATTTCGAAGAAATTAAAGTGCTAAAATCGGAATTGCATAAAAACTTTGAAATCAAAGACTTGGGGCCTATATCTTACTGTCTAGGCATGAAAATAGAAAGAAATCGTACCAAAAATGAATTAAAATTAAGTCAGGAGCAATATATAACTAAATTGCTTGAACGTTTTCAAATGACTGACTGTAGTACTGTGAGCACTCCTTTGGAGAAAAATAAAAAATTCTCTAATTGTAGAGACTACTATCATGCTCCCTATCAACAGTTAATCGGTTCTATTATGTATCTGGCTGTTTGTACTCGACCAGATATTTGTTTTCCTGTGTCTTATCTGAGTCAATTTAATATAAATCACACTAAGGAACATTGGCTAGCAGCTAAGAGGGTACTTAGGTATTTGAAAGGCACAAAAAATGTTGGTATCGTGTTTAGACAAAGCCACACAGGTTTGTTAGGATTTGTTGATTCTGATTGGGCCAACAATAGTCTAGATCGTAAGTCATACTATGGTTATGTATTTTGTTTAACCAGTGGCCCAATATCGTGGTAAAGCAGGAAACAAAAGACTTTAGCTCTCAGCTCAACAGAGGCAGAATATATAGGTATGTGTGAAGCTACAAAAGAGGCATTGTATTTAAAATCTTTGATTCATGAGCTCTTCACTACTAATAGTGAGTGTCAATTTTTAAATGTATCACAGGCATGTAGAAGTATATAATGACAATCAAAGTGCCATAAAATTAGCCCAAAATCAAATATTTCACAAGCGTACAAAACATATACATGTTAAATACCATTTCTTACGAGAAAAAGTTAGAGATGGTAGTGTTACTTTTCTATACATGTCAACTAACGACTTGGTAGCCGCCGACTTACTTACAAAAGGTCTGGCTACTAATAAACACTTATATTTATGTGGTAAACTAAGCTTGCAATGATTTAGCTGTAATTTAGCTTAAAATGGGACTAAAATGTGGTATCTTATTGTACTCGCCTATGTAACGCAAATATTGAGGGAGAATGTTGGAATACAATACTTTGCGTGTTAGGTACATTTATTTGTATAAGTAATATGCAATACATATTGCGTTTACGTCTCTTTATCTTTGCCTCTCAGTACCGTAGATATTTTGATTCTCTTGTCTCTGTACTTGACTGTCGCGTGCGCGTCATGCAAAAATTGTGTGTTGTAACTTCTGTATAATAAACGGCCGGTTATTTTGTACGTATTTATTTTATTGGCAAACGTTGATACAAGTAACGAATTCCGCTTGTGCTTATCGCCCTGCAACAATTATAATATTTAATTATAGTTTCTTTTATAAGAATTGCATTTTCAAAAACCATTGTTAGTTGTATTGTGTTGTTTTAAGGATAAAAGAAAAAAAAATGAAAATCCCAAAATTAAATACAGCAAATGCAAACTCAATAAGTTCTAAGACAAATTCGAACCCATCCCCCTTCAAAAAAAAAAAGAAAAAGGTCAATGACAATACACCAATAGGGAGCAATGAAGAAAAAAAAACAAAAACAAATTAAATAATTAGTGCTAAGTACTCAAAATCTCCAATAACTAATATTCAAAATTACTCGCTGGCAAAAATATGTGAGTGACCCCGCATTGATTCAAAATTCAAATTCAAAAATATAGCCAAGTATTTTTTTGCAGTTCGAACCAATATACAAATCCAAACTGACGGCCTATTAACTTAAAACTCAATAAACTATAAAAAATTGACAGAAATATTTAAAAACCTATAAAAACAACGAACCTAAAAAATAATAAATTTTACACGTTGGGTGCTAAAAAATTCCCAGAAAATTTACACATTGGGCGTTAAAAAAAAATTACACGTTGGGCGCCAGAAAAATTGCCACGTCTCTTTTCCACTGAAGGTGGAGGGGAGACCGAAGCAATCCTACTATACTTTGCACACTTTGCTACCGATTGGAAGCAGTAAGTATAGGGCCCAAGCAGCTCAGTTTCTCAAAATATGGGCGGGGTATAAAAAAGAAAGTAAATAAATCAAAGGTTGGAAACCGGGACGCCAGCTAGGACAAAACCCCAACCTATACTATGGTGCTGGCAATACGATGTTCGTTTGCAACATCACTAGGGTCAATCGGCCAATAATGACAGAATTTAATAAACGCAAGGAGACTAAATATTACCTAACTACTACCCGCTATTACCAATAATAATCAATTATTACACACACATGAATGAGATTACACAGTAACGTCTTACGAAATTGAAGACGAACGTGTGCCAAAGGTCGAGTGCTTAACTGTACTAATGGCAGAGTGCTTTCGCGTTGACAGAGGATTGAGATATAACCTCTCCAAAACTCTTTTTCGGTCAACCAGGTGAAGTGGTGTGCACAATTTTACCTCGGTCCGAGAAAATTTTCATTTTTTTGACGTAATTCTAGTCTTCAACTGAATTTTTCGGTCTGGGTGAGTTTTATATTTAGTCAGCCGTTAATATTTGCTTTGGTTTGGTGTCGCAGTTCGCAATAATTTAGCGCTTTTCATATCATGGCATGTGCTTCGGGGGGTAAAGACCCCCCTGATAGAAACGATCGTATCGTAGTTAATAATCCGATAGTGTTTGCAAATGATTTTGATTCCTTTCAAGCTCAACTAAACTTGTCCCAAGCTTCTACCTCCTCTAGCAGTGGTTATTCATCAGCCTTGACGCTTTCGCCTTTAGCTAAGAAAACAGCACATGCTATCGCTCAGCATCAATACTTCTTAGTACCCACTAAGGAGGAAATAGATTTATTGGAGACAGAGTTACAAAAGCTTAAATCTGTCTTCGTGGAAGATCAGGATGCCCTAAACGAAATTGCAAGAATTTCAGTCAACATAAGGAGAACACTTAACCGAAAGTATAAGTATGAACTTACAGACCAGGGACCATTTCTTATCATAATGGAGGGAATAACTTCTCAAGTTGGAAACATTCACCCGATGAATATTGGAAAAATTTTGCACAGAGCTGGAGTACAAGGTATAACAAAAATCAATAGAAAAGGGGCTAATAAAATTGGAATTGAATTCAGAACATCAGAGTATGCTAATCAGTTTTTGTCAAATGAAAGTTTCAGTTCTGCTAGAGGCTATAATAGGTACATTCCACAACGTCTTGTCACTTGTAGAGGACTAATCAAGGATGTAGGGGACCAAATTACGGAAGAGGATTTTTACTCAGAAGCGGTAGCTTATACAGGAGAAGGATCCCGGGCCAGGTTGATTAAGATATTAAATGTAAAAAGAGTCTTAAGAAGGAAGAAAATACTTGCTATTTCTGGTGAAACAGTAATGAAAACCATCCCCACAAACGATTATATTGTAACATTTGAAGGCAAATCATTACCCCAAACTGTAAATATTTTTAATAATGAAAGAGAAGTGGAAAAATATGTTAACCCGGTTATAATGTGCGTCAATTGTTGCAGATTTGGACATGTCAAAAATAATTGTAGAGGCAAGCCTCGTTGCGGTTTTTGTACAGAAGATCATCTTATGTTTGTTTGTCAAAAAAGAGAGCAAGCAATGAAAAAAATGAAATGCCCTGCAGATCATCTTAACAATCTGACTAAAACGTGTAAAATTCCAAATTGTGAAGTAAATCCAAAACCAAGCTGCGTAAATTGCAAGGGACACCACACTGCTACTGACTGGGGATGTCCCGAATACAAACGGCAAAAACAAATTAACGAAACCATGAGCTTCTACAACCTTTCTTTTTATGAAGCAGCTAAACTGCATCCACGGCTAATTAATGCAAACCAAGGCTTTACCCGAAAACCAGAAGATTTTCCTAGTTTAAATAAAAAAACTCAGAATAAACCTCCTCATCCAACAAGTCCTCAGGGCTGTTCCTCATATACATCAGTACTTAAAAGAAAACGGCCTGACACCCAATTTACCAAAGGGTATGATAAAGTAGCCCATGAACTAACTTTGTTACCCTCAAGTGCAAGAAGAAAAGTCTCATCTATACAAGTAGTTGAAAACTCGACATCAGAGTCGGAAATGGAAGTAACTCCTGTAGGAAATGGCTGGGAAGAAGTATGCAACAAGTTTGAAGCTTTCAAAAAAGACGTTATGTCAATAAAGGGTATGGATGAAAATTGTGTCAACAATATCAAACAATATTTTGGTTCATTTGACCTACGGAGGGGGGGCGGCTGCGATGGCAGCGGTTGACCTACAGGGGTTAGAAAAAGCAAAGGTAATCTTATCACTAGTTTTAATCTAACAGTAGTTTTTACGTAACAAAACTAAGTTTAAGTTTTAGTCACAAGCGTTTTATAGTTGAGCTATAATGAATATCGTTCACTGGAACATTTGCGGGGCTGAAAAAAATAAAGATGCTATCATTAGAGTTATAAGGGATTTTAAGCTACAGATCTTATTGCTCAATGAAACCTTGCTCAAACCCAACACTAACTTTAAAATATCAGGGTTCTCTTCTGTAAGAGCAGATAAACCTAATGGTGCAGATGGTATAGCAATTTTCTTGAAAAACAAAATAAAATATAATATCATCGACTTAAGCAGAATTAATATACCAGAGAGGTGTCAGGTTATTCTTGTAGAGCTTGTCGATTTTTTTATTTGTTGTGTTTACAACCCTCCAGATATTTGTTTGGTCAGGGCAAGCCTCGATTCAATTTTCGATCTAACCCGTAATAAACCCGTCCTCGTTATGGGAGACTTTAATGCCCATAATCCAATATGGGGTTCCCAGGTCAGTTACTCACGGGGAATTAGAAGTGGGAACATTCTTTATGATTTCATTAAGGATCACGATTTGTGGGTACTAAACGATGGATCAGCTACTCGGCTCACACGCCCAGGCGTACACAGCGCTCCAGATGTAGCTTTTTGCTCCCAGAGACTGTCTGGACTTACTGACTGCAGGGTTCTCCAGGATAGAGTGAATAGCGATCATTTTCCTATTTTGTGTATCATCGGAAATAACCGTTGCAACTCAGGTTCGACAAGAAACTACACTAGCAAATATAATTTCAACAAGGCAGACTGGGAGAAATTTTCTGATTTAATCTCCACGAAATTTAGAACTTCACCTCCTATAAATTATGAGGATTTTATGAATATAATTTTCCTATCTATTGCAGAATCTGTTCCAATGCATAAACACTCATTAAACTACGGGTTACCTTGGTGGGATAATGAGTGCACCAACGCTATTAAAAGGAAAAGACAAGCATTCAGAGACTATAAAAACAACCCCTCTGAGACCAACTTCCTGGAATCATTAAGAACCCGGGCACAAACAAGACAGCTGCTACGTAAGAAGAAAAAGGAAGGCTTTGTCAACTTTTGTGAGAATCTATCTCCAAATACTAGTGCAAAAGAAGTTTGGAGCAGTATTAGAAGGTTTGCTAAAGGTATCAGGTACCAAAATTATCATTTTCCCTTGAATTTCTCAATCCCACAAGATATGTTTGATCTTTTGACGCAACCTCCCTCTAGGTTGCCTAATATCCCCGAATGTCGCTTCTCATCAGAATATACAGAAGACTTCCATATCTCAGAATTTGTCGCGGCCGTTAAAGGTCGGAAGAGCAAGAGTCCCGGTGTGGATAAAGTACCTTTCAGTGTGCTCAGCCATCTCCCTGTTGAAGGAGCAGTCTTTCTTATCAAATTTTTCAACAAAATACTTCGGAGGGAAACCACCATTCCAGAGACGTGGAAAACCCAAATGGTGATCGCAATTCCTAAACCGGGGAGAGACCCCTCAGCGTTATCGTCCTACAGGCCCATCAACCTAGCTTCTTGCATAAGCAAAACTTTTGAAATTATGATCAAAAACCGACTGGAATGGTTCGTAGAGAACCAAGGTTTAATAGACGTTCGCCAAACCGGTTTCAGAAAGGGTAAGGGAACTTTCGACAATCTTGCAGTTATCTCCTCAGAGGTCCTCTGCCGTTTGGCTCGCAATCAACTAGCAGCAATGGTGACTTTGGACATATCCAATGCCTACGATAATATAAATGTTGACTTATTGACCTCGGTGTTGGCCAAAATTGGAATCGCCAGAGATTTGACTTTGCTCATTAAAGATTTTCTCACGAACAGGAAGATACAAGTTAAAGATCCATCTACTAATACATTCGTGTCAGGCAGAACCACTAGCAAGGGAGTTCCCCAAGGTTCCCCTCTTTCTCCATTACTATTTAATATTTACATCAATTCAATCAATGAAACAATTCCTGAGAACATAAGACTTTTACAGTTTGCGGACGATACCGCCTTGCTGAGTACTGGGACTGATGCCGAAACAATAGTGAACAATTTGAATAGAACTTTGCAAAATATACATATTTGGTCTTTGAATGTAGGACTTGAGATTAACCCCAATAAATCTGCAGCTATATTTTTTTCCAGGAAGAATTACAAGGTTAATTATCTCCCCAGACTTCACCTCAACACTCGAACCATTGCATGGACAAATTCCATCACATATCTAGGAGTGATTTTTGATCCAAAACTGTCATGGGAGCCACAAATTAGAAATATGATACAGAAAGCTTCAGGTGGGTTGAATATGATGCGATTTATAAGTAGAATCTGGTGGGGGGCACATCCCTCTACCCTTCTAACTTTTTACAAAGCTTATGTTAGACCCCATTTGGATTATGGAGCCTCTTTTTTGGGTGGTAGCTCAAGAAAGTCTATTGCTCAACTTAACAAAATTCAATTTGAGGCACTGAGAATAGCTCTGGGATATATGAAGTCCACACCTACTAACATACTTCTAGGGGAAGCAAGTGAAATGGATTTAGAACACAGAAGATACATGCTAGCGACTAAATCATTATTGAAAGCTGCCAGTTTAGTGGACAGTGAAACCTTAGCTGCGGTTAGATGGTTATATATCACCTATAATGAAAACTATTACTTTTTTCGGAAAAAGAGTATTCCTGCACTTGTGGATGCTTTTGAAAGAGTTGATTCACTGTTAGTTACACTTTACAGGAGCCCAGTTTATCCCTGTTTTTCTTGCCCACTGCCGAACCTTTTAAGCTCTGTTCAAATCCAAGACTTAAAACTAAAGAAAGATAATAATAACTCCAAATTATTTGAAATTAAGAAGAGCGAGACTTGGACCCCAGATTTTCATTTAATTTTTACAGACGCCTCAAAAGATAAAGAAGGCCGAGTAGGTTTTGGCGTTTACAACTACAATACGAACCTTAAAATGGGACAAGGCCTACCAAGTGAACTATCCATTTGCTCTGCCGAGATTTATGCTATTGGTCAAGCTCTTGATTGGATTGAATTCAAGGACATCAACAAAGCAGTCATCCTTTCAGACTCCAAAAGTGCCCTCGAAGATATCAATAAAACTGGGATGGATGCAAAGTCTAACTACCTAACCTTGCAGGTTAAGAATAAACTATTTACCTTAATAAAAACGCAAAATAAGGACATCCAATTATGCTGGATACCAAGCCATACCAGTATAAAAGAAAACGATATTGCGGATCAGATCGCCAATGCTGCACGCCTCGAACCACAGGAAAATATAAAATTGAGCTTTAGGGAATTCTTCCCTAAATTAAAGCATAACATCTGGAATGCTTGGAGCGACAGATGGAAACATATAGGATTAGGGAAAGGAGTTAATTTCACCTCACATTATTCTACTCCGCCAACTAAACCCTGGTTTCATAAGCTCGACCTGAATAGAAGAGAAATTACAACTATGTGTAGACTGAGAAGCAACCATTGCTGTTCTCCGGCTCACCTAAATAGAATCAAAGTCAAACTCTCCGGAGACTGTGAATGTGGAGAACTGGGCGATTTAAGTCATGTGCTGTTTGATTGTGCTCTTCATTGGGAAAAATCACAACAGTTGTATGAGTCACTCATTAGTGCTAATTTTCCTTCGCCTCTGCATATTAATTCCATTTTATTTCACCGCACTCAGTTGGATTTTGCTGCTAGAATTGTTTGCCGATTTTTAGATGCATGTGGATTAAAACTTTGAATATTGTTTTCACATATTCTAATTCTTTCGTCCATTTTTTTTCCCTGTATAGCCGTCCTGTAGGATGATGGTATCACCCAGACCCTCTTTACGGAGGCATCCTTCATGGAAATAGTTTATTGCACACCACTACCGTGAAGCTGGCCGAATTGCCTTAGCAGCAGTGGCTAAATAAAGCGTAAATAAAAAAAAAAAAAAAAACCTATTTTTTTTTTTCCGCCAACTAAACCCTGGTTTCATAAGCTCGACCTGAATAGAAGAGAAATTACAACTATGTGTAGACTGAGAAGCAACCATTGCTGTTCTCCGGCTCACCTAAATAGAATCAAAGTCAAACTCTCCGGAGACTGTGAATGTGGAGAACTGGGCGATTTAAGTCATGTGCTGTTTGATTGTGCTCTTCATTGGGAAAAATCACAACAGTTGTATGAGTCACTCATTAGTGCTAATTTTCCTTCGCCTCTGCATATTAATTCCATTTTATTTCACCGCACTCAGTTGGATTTTGCTGCTAGAATTGTTTGCCGATTTTTAGATGCATGTGGATTAAAACTTTGAATATTGTTTTCACATATTCTAATTCTTTCGTCCATTTTTTTTCCCTGTATAGCCGTCCAGTAGGATGATGGTATCACCCAGACCCTCTTTACGGAGGCATCCTTCATGGAAATAGCTTATTGCACACCACTACCGTGAAGCTGGCCGAATTGCCTTAGCAGCAGTGGCTAAATAAAGCGTAAATAAAAAAAAAAAAACCCGGTTATAATGTGCGTCAATTGTTGCAGATTTGGACATGTCAAAAATAATTGTAGAGGCAAGCCTCGTTGCGGTTTTTGTACAGAAGATCATCTTATGTTTGTTTGTCAAAAAAGAGAGCAAGCAATGAAAAAAATGAAATGCCCTGCAGATCATCTTAACAATCTGACTAAAACGTGTAAAATTCCAAATTGTGAAGTAAATCCAAAACCAAGCTGCGTAAATTGCAAGGGACACCACACTGCTACTGACTGGGGATGTCCCGAATACAAACGGCAAAAACAAATTAACGAAACCATGAGCTTCTACAACCTTTCTTTTTATGAAGCAGCTAAACTGCATCCACGGCTAATTAATGCAAACCAAGGCTTTACCCGAAAACCAGAAGATTTTCCTAGTTTAAATAAAAAAACTCAGAATAAACCTCCTCATCCAACAAGTCCTCAGGGCTGTTCCTCATATACATCAGTACTTAAAAGAAAACGGCCTGACACCCAATTTACCAAAGGGTATGATAAAGTAGCCCATGAACTAACTTTGTTACCCTCAAGTGCAAGAAGAAAAGTCTCATCTATACAAGTAGTTGAAAACTCGACATCAGAGTCGGAAATGGAAGTAACTCCTGTAGGAAATGGCTGGGAAGAAGTATGCAACAAGTTTGAAGCTTTCAAAAAAGACGTTATGTCAATAAAGGGTATGGATGAAAATTGTGTCAACAATATCAAACAATATTTTGGTTCATTTGACCTACGGAGGGGGGGCGGCTGCGATGGCAGCGGTTGACCTACAGGGGTTAGAAAAAGCAAAGGTAATCTTATCACTAGTTTTAATCTAACAGTAGTTTTTACGTAACAAAACTAAGTTTAAGTTTTAGTCACAAGCGTTTTATAGTTGAGCTATAATGAATATCGTTCACTGGAACATTTGCGGGGCTGAAAAAAATAAAGATGCTATCATTAGAGTTATAAGGGATTTTAAGCTACAGATCTTATTGCTCAATGAAACCTTGCTCAAACCCAACACTAACTTTAAAATATCAGGGTTCTCTTCTGTAAGAGCAGATAAACCTAATGGTGCAGATGGTATAGCAATTTTCTTGAAAAACAAAATAAAATATAATATCATCGACTTAAGCAGAATTAATATACCAGAGAGGTGTCAGGTTATTCTTGTAGAGCTTGTCGATTTTTTTATTTGTTGTGTTTACAACCCTCCAGATATTTGTTTGGTCAGGGCAAGCCTCGATTCAATTTTCGATCTAACCCGTAATAAACCCGTCCTCGTTATGGGAGACTTTAATGCCCATAATCCAATATGGGGTTCCCAGGTCAGTTACTCACGGGGAATTAGAAGTGGGAACATTCTTTATGATTTCATTAAGGATCACGATTTGTGGGTACTAAACGATGGATCAGCTACTCGGCTCACACGCCCAGGCGTACACAGCGCTCCAGATGTAGCTTTTTGCTCCCAGAGACTGTCTGGACTTACTGACTGCAGGGTTCTCCAGGATAGAGTGAATAGCGATCATTTTCCTATTTTGTGTATCATCGGAAATAACCGTTGCAACTCAGGTTCGACAAGAAACTACACTAGCAAATATAATTTCAACAAGGCAGACTGGGAGAAATTTTCTGATTTAATCTCCACGAAATTTAGAACTTCACCTCCTATAAATTATGAGGATTTTATGAATATAATTTTCCTATCTATTGCAGAATCTGTTCCAATGCATAAACACTCATTAAACTACGGGTTACCTTGGTGGGATAATGAGTGCACCAACGCTATTAAAAGGAAAAGACAAGCATTCAGAGACTATAAAAACAACCCCTCTGAGACCAACTTCCTGGAATCATTAAGAACCCGGGCACAAACAAGACAGCTGCTACGTAAGAAGAAAAAGGAAGGCTTTGTCAACTTTTGTGAGAATCTATCTCCAAATACTAGTGCAAAAGAAGTTTGGAGCAGTATTAGAAGGTTTGCTAAAGGTATCAGGTACCAAAATTATCATTTTCCCTTGAATTTCTCAATCCCACAAGATATGTTTGATCTTTTGACGCAACCTCCCTCTAGGTTGCCTAATATCCCCGAATGTCGCTTCTCATCAGAATATACAGAAGACTTCCATATCTCAGAATTTGTCGCGGCCGTTAAAGGTCGGAAGAGCAAGAGTCCCGGTGTGGATAAAGTACCTTTCAGTGTGCTCAGCCATCTCCCTGTTGAAGGAGCAGTCTTTCTTATCAAATTTTTCAACAAAATACTTCGGAGGGAAACCACCATTCCAGAGACGTGGAAAACCCAAATGGTGATCGCAATTCCTAAACCGGGGAGAGACCCCTCAGCGTTATCGTCCTACAGGCCCATCAACCTAGCTTCTTGCATAAGCAAAACTTTTGAAATTATGATCAAAAACCGACTGGAATGGTTCGTAGAGAACCAAGGTTTAATAGACGTTCGCCAAACCGGTTTCAGAAAGGGTAAGGGATCTTTCGACAATCTTGCAGTTATCTCCTCAGAGGTCCTCTGCCGTTTGGCTCGCAATCAACTAGCAGCAATGGTGACTTTGGACATATCCAATGCCTACGATAATATAAATGTTGACTTATTGACCTCGGTGTTGGCCAAAATTGGAATCGCCAGAGATTTGACTTTGCTCATTAAAGATTTTCTCACGAACAGGAAGATACAAGTTAAAGATCCATCTACTAATACATTCGTGTCAGGCAGAACCACTAGCAAGGGAGTTCCCCAAGGTTCCCCTCTTTCTCCATTACTATTTAATATTTACATCAATTCAATCAATGAAACAATTCCTGAGAACATAAGACTTTTACAGTTTGCGGACGATACCGCCTTGCTGAGTACTGGGACTGATGCCGAAACAATAGTGAACAATTTGAATAGAACTTTGCAAAATATACATATTTGGTCTTTGAATGTAGGACTTGAGATTAACCCCAATAAATCTGCAGCTATATTTTTTTCCAGGAAGAATGACAAGGTTAATTATCTCCCCAGACTTCACCTCAACACTCGAACCATTGCATGGACAAATTCCATCACATATCTAGGAGTGATTTTTGATCCAAAACTGTCATGGGAGCCACAAATTAGAAATATGATACAGAAAGCTTCAGGTGGGTTGAATATGATGCGATTTATAAGTAGAATCTGGTGGGGGGCACATCCCTCTACCCTTCTAACTTTTTACAAAGCTTATGTTAGACCCCATTTGGATTATGGAGCCTCTTTTTTGGGTGGTAGCTCAAGAAAGTCTATTGCTCAACTTAACAAAATTCAATTTGAGGCACTGAGAATAGCTCTGGGATATATGAAGTCCACACCTACTAACATACTTCTAGGGGAAGCAAGTGAAATGGATTTAGAACACAGAAGATACATGCTAGCGACTAAATCATTATTGAAAGCTGCCAGTTTAGTGGACAGTGAAACCTTAGCTGCGGTTAGATGGTTATATATCACCTATAATGAAAACTATTACTTTTTTCGGAAAAAGAGTATTCCTGCACTTGTGGATGCTTTTGAAAGAGTTGATTCACTGTTAGATACACTTTACAGGAGCCCAGTTTATCCCTGTTTTTCTTGCCCACTGCCGAACCTTTTAAGCTCTGTTCAAATCCAAGACTTAAAACTAAAGAAAGATAATAATAACTCCAAATTATTTGAAATTAAGAAGAGCGAGACTTGGACCCCAGATTTTCATTTAATTTTTACAGACGCCTCAAAAGATAAAGAAGGCCGAGTAGGTTTTGGCGTTTACAACTACAATACGAACCTTAAAATGGGACAAGGCCTACCAAGTGAACTATCCATTTGCTCTGCCGAGATTTATGCTATTGGTCAAGCTCTTGATTGGATTGAATTCAAGGACATCAACAAAGCAGTCATCCTTTCAGACTCCAAAAGTGCCCTCGAAGATATCAATAAAACTGGGATGGATGCAAAGTCTAACTACCTAACCTTGCAGGTTAAGAATAAACTATTTACCTTAATAAAAACGCAAAATAAGGACATCCAATTATGCTGGATACCAAGCCATACCAGTATAAAAGAAAACGATATTGCGGATCAGATCGCCAATGCTGCACGCCTCGAACCACAGGAAAATATAAAATTGAGCTTTAGGGAATTCTTCCCTAAATTAAAGCATAACATCTGGAATGCTTGGAGCGACAGATGGAAACATATAGGATTAGGGAAAGGAGTTAATTTCACCTCACATTATTCTACTCCGCCAACTAAACCCTGGTTTCATAAGCTCGACCTGAATAGAAGAGAAATTACAACTATGTGTAGACTGAGAAGCAACCATTGCTGTTCTCCGGCTCACCTAAATAGAATCAAAGTCAAACTCTCCGGAGACTGTGAATGTGGAGAACTGGGCGATTTAAGTCATGTGCTGTTTGATTGTGCTCTTCATTGGGAAAAATCACAACAGTTGTATGAGTCACTCATTAGTGCTAATTTTCCTTCGCCTCTGCATATTAATTCCATTTTATTTCACCGCACTCAGTTGGATTTTGCTGCTAGAATTGTTTGCCGATTTTTAGATGCATGTGGATTAAAACTTTGAATATTGTTTTCACATATTCTAATTCTTTCGTCCATTTTTTTTCCCTGTATAGCCGTCCAGTAGGATGATGGTATCACCCAGACCCTCTTTACGGAGGCATCCTTCATGGAAATAGTTTATTGCACACCACTACCGTGAAGCTGGCCGAATTGCCTTAGCAGCAGTGGCTAAATAAAGCGTAAATAAAAAAAAAAAAAAAAAAAAAAACCTCTCCAAAAAGCAACAAGTGTGAATAAATGAAAGCAAGGGACAAGAATAGAAATTGTCGTTACTTCGGAAATAAGAAGGAATACAGGACGATCGTCTCGTGCAATCCAACCGCATTCCGCAGTAACATCTTAAATTGCAGCAAAAATGCAAGGACTTACACTTATTTACATTTATTTTAGGACATGCAAACCACACCAAGCAATTAAACAGTTACCGTGTGTTCGAACAGAATAAAGTAGCAATACCAGTAGTTTTGAGGATTAAGACAGTGTGTAATTGTGAGAATAAAACATTTAATAGGTAGTCTCCGAGTATTATTAACCTACATGTGAGACACATAAGTCGAAGTAGCCAATGACAAATTGAACCCGTTACACTCCCCCTCTTCTTCGGAAGGAGGTTTAATTTCATAGAAAAGTAAACCGACGACAACCGTAAAGCAAACCAGGCCAAACTAGGACGCAAAACTCAAAACCAGATGTGAACAATGACTCCCCAAGAATCACTAAAACAATACTAGTAAAAACCCGAAATAAAGAAGACCAGTCCAATGAGACATCTGGGCACACCCAGAAGGGAGCAACATCCAAAGAGTAAAATGACTTACAACTCTTGATGAAAAATGGATGTTAGCCAGCATTGCGTTACCACCAACCAAGACGGGGGAACCTCGTTTACTGGCCCCCTACAGACTGTAACCAAATGCAGCATCAAACCCGCCAAAATCCACCGGCACTCGTACCAATTGAATATGCTCAAAGGGCGGAAAACCAAAGAAAATCCCAACCCCGTTAAAGAAAAATCTGAAGAAAGAAAAAAAAAACAAGTAACCCGCTCTGCGATTTGGGGCGAAGTTGGGTTTTCCTACACAGCAAAAACAAGCCCATAAACCTTTGACTCATTGACTGTGTTAGACAAAGTATCTCTAAATCTTCTAAAAGAAGGGATAGCCAACTCAGAACACAACAAAAAAGAAACCAAGACTCAAGCAAAAATTGAAATACACTATGGGCAATTGTTTTCTAAAGAAAAACAAGAATTGCCTTACAACAAATGGAAACCTTGATTTCACCATTCGTGATGAGAGTGAACAACAGATATTCCGAGGTTTCGAACAACTTGAGCACCTTTGTAACTTTTTAGAAAAATCCAATGTAAATCCCTCACTACTTACATGTTGGAATCAAGGAACCTTGATAAACTGCTATAACTGCATTGCAAAGGAAACTCTTCAGAACTTATTAAAGAAATCTAAAATTGCTGAAATGGTTTCAGACAATGAGATAGAACCAGCAGGTCAACCACCTAATGCTGACATCGTCATCATCGTTCTAATGTTAATATCCATTGTATTTGCTTTTATTTACATCAACCTTCTTAGGACTGGCAAAACAAAAAATCCTTATATTCCTACAATAATACTTTTTGTCCTGCCTTTGATAATACTCACAGATATTGTAGTAAAATTGCTAAAAGTGTGAAACTAATACTGCAGTTAAATAGGTTCATTAATATAGATTTTGTTATTATAATAATATTTAATTATAGTTTCTTTTATAAGAATTGCATTTTCAAAAACCATTGTTAGTTGTATTGTGTTGTTTTAACGATAAAAGAAAAAAAAATGAAAATCCCAAAATTAAATACAGCAAATGCAAACTCAATAAGTTCTAAGACAAATTCCAACCCATCCCCCTTCAAAAAAAAAAAGAAAAAGGTCAATGACAATACACCAATAGGGAGCAATGAAGAAAAAAAAAACAAAAACAAATTAAATAATTAGTGCTAAGTACTCAAAATCTCCAATAACTAATATTCAAAATTACTCGCTGGCAAAAATATGTGAGTGACCCCGCATTGATTCAAAATTCAAATTCAAAAATATAGCCAAGTATTTTTTTGCAGTTCGAACCAATATACAAATCCAAACTGACGGCCTATTAACTTAAAACTCAATAAACTATAAAAAATTGACAGAAATATTTAAAAACCTATAAAAACAACGAACCTAAAAAATAATAAATTTTACACGTTGGGTGCTAAAAAATTCCCAGAAAATTTACACATTGGGCGTTAAAAAAAAATTACACGTTGGGCGCCAGAAAAATTGCCACGTCTCTTTTCCACTGAAGGTGGAGGGGAGACCGAAGCAATCCTACAATACTTTGCTCACTTTGCTACCGATTGGAAGCAGTAAGTATAGGGCCCAAGCAGCTCAGTTTCTCAAAATATGGGCGGGGTATAAAAAAGAAAGTAAATAAATCAAAGGTTGGAAACCGGGACGCCAGCTATGACAAAACCCCAACCTATACTATGGTGCAAGCAATTCAATGTACGGTTCCAACACCACTAGGGTGAATAGACCAATAATGACAGAATTTAATCAACGCAAGGAGACTAAATATTACCTAACTACTACCCGCTATTACCAATAATAATCAATTATTACACACACATGAATGAGATTACACAGTAACGTCTTACGAAATTGAAGACGAACGTGTGCCAAAGGTCGAGTGCTTAACTGTACTAATGGCCGAGTGCATTCGCGTTGACAGAGGTTTGAAATATAACCTCTCCAAATTTTTTTTTTTTCTTTTTCTTTTTTTTTTCGGTCAACCAGGTGAAGTGGTGTGCACAATTTTACCTCGGTCCGAGAAAATTTTCATTTTTTTGACGTAATTCTAGTCTTCAACTGAATTTTTCGGTCTGGGTGAGTTTTATATTTAGTCAGCCGTTAATAATTGCTTTGGTTTGGTGTCGCAGTTCGCAATAATTTAGCGCTTTTCATATCATGGCATGTGCTTCGGGGGGTAAAGACCCCCCTGATAGAAACGATCGTATCGTAGTTAATAATCCGATAGTGTTTGCAAATGATTTTGATTCCTTTCAAGCTCAACTAAACTTGTCCCAAGCTTCTACCTCCTCTAGCAGTGGTTATTCATCAGCCTTGACGCTTTCGCCTTTAGCTAAGAAAACAGCACATGCTATCGCTCAGCATCAATACTTCTTAGTACCCACTAAGGAGGAAATAGATTTATTGGAGACAGAGTTACAAAAGCTTAAATCTGTCTTCGTGGAAGATCAGGATGCCCTAAACGAAATTGCAAGAATTTCAGTCAACATAAGGAGAACACTTAACCGAAAGTATAAGTATGAACTTACAGACCAGGGACCATTTCTTATCATAATGGAGGGAATAACTTCTCAAGTTGGAAACATTCACCCGATGAATATTGGAAAAATTTTGCACAGAGCTGGAGTACAAGGTATAACAAAAATCAATAGAAAAGGGGCTAATAAAATTGGAATTGAATTCAGAACATCAGAGTATGCTAATCAGTTTTTGTCAAATGAAAGTTTCAGTTCTGCTAGAGGCTATAATAGGTACATTCCACAACGTCTTGTCACTTGTAGAGGACTAATCAAGGATGTAGGGGACCAAATTACGGAAGAGGATTTTTACTCAGAAGCGGTAGCTTATACAGGAGAAGGATCCCGGGCCAGGTTGATTAAGATATTAAATGTAAAAAGAGTCTTAAGAAGGAAGAAAATACTTGCTATTTCTGGTGAAACAGTAATGAAAACCATCCCCACAAACAATTATATTGTAACATTTGAAGGCAAATCATTACCCCAAACTGTAAATATTTTTAATAATGAAAGAGAAGTGGAAAAATATGTTAACCCGGTTATAATGTGCGTCAATTGTTGCAGATTTGGACATGTCAAAAATAATTGTAGAGGCAAGCCTCGTTGCGGTTTTTGTACAGAAGATCATCTTATGTTTGTTTGTGAAAAAAGAGAGCAAGCAATGAAAAAAATGAAATGCCCTGCAGATCATCTTAACAATCTGACTAAAACGTGTAAAATTCCAAATTGTGAAGTAAATCCAAAACCAAGCTGCGTAAATTGCAAGGGACACCACACTGCTACTGACTGGGGATGTCCCGAATACAAACGGCAAAAACAAATTAACGAAACCATGAGCTTCTACAACCTTTCTTTTTATGAAGCAGCTAAACTGCATCCACGGCTAATTAATGCAAACCAAGGCTTTACCCGAAAACCAGAAGATTTTCCTAGTTTAAATAAAAAAACTCAGAATAAACCTCCGCATCCAACAAGTCCTCAGGGCTGTTCCTCATATACATCAGTACTTAAAAGAAAACGGCCTGACACCCAATTTACCAAAGGGTATGATAAAGTAGCCCATGAACTAACTTTGTTACCCTCAAGTGCAAGAAGAAAAGTCTCATCTATACAAGTAGTTGAAAACTCGACATCAGAGTCGGAAATGGAAGTAACTCCTGTAGGAAATGGCTGGGAAGAAGTATGCAACAAGTTTGAAGCTTTCAAAAAAGACGTTATGTCAATAAAGGGTATGGATGAAAATTGTGTCAACAATATCAAACAATATTTTGGTTCATTTGACCTACGGAGGGGGGGCGGCTGCGATGGCAGCGGTTGACCTACAGGGGTTAGAAAAAGAAAAGGTAATCTTATCACTAGTTTTAATCTAACAGTAGTTTTTACGTAACAAAACTAAGTTTAAGTTTTAGTCACAAGCGTTTTATAGTTGAGCTATAATGAATATCGTTCACTGGAACATTTGCGGGGCTGAAAAAAATAAAGATGCTATCATTAGAGTTATAAGGGATTTTAAGCTACAGATCTTATTGCTCAATGAAACCTTGCTCAAACCCAACACTAACTTTAAAATATCAGGGTTCTCTTCTGTAAGAGCAGATAAACCTAATGGTGCAGATGGTATAGCAATTTTCTTGAAAAACAAAATAAAATATAATATCATCGACTTAAGCAGAATTAATATACCAGAGAGGTGTCAGGTTATTCTTGTAGAGCTTGTCGATTTTTTTATTTGTTGTGTTTACAACCTTCCAGATATTTGTTTGGTCAGGGCAAGCCTCAATTCAATTTTCGATCTAACCCGTAATAAACCCGTCCTCGTTATGGGAGACTTTAATGCCCATAATCCAATATGGGGTTCCCAGGTCAGTTACTCACGGGGAATTAGAAGTGGGAACATTCTTTATGATTTCATTAAGGATCACGATTTGTGGGTACTAAATGATGGATCAGCTACTCGGCTCACACGCCCAGGCGTACACAGCGCTCCAGATGTAGCTTTTTGCTCCCAGAGACTGTCTGGACTTACCGACTGCAGGGTTCTCCAGGATAGAGTGAATAGCGATCATTTTCCTATTTTGTGTATCATCGGAAATAACCGTTGCAACTCAGGTTCGACAAGAAACTACACTAGCAAATATAATTTCAACAAGGCAGACTGGGAGAAATTTTCTGATTTAATCTCCACGAAATTTAGAACTTCACCTCCTATAAATTATGAGGATTTTATGAATATAATTTTCCTATCTATTGCAGAATCTGTTCCAATGCATAAACACTCATTAAACTACGGGTTACCTTGGTGGGATAATGAGTGCACCAACGCTATTAAAAGGAAAAGACAAGCATTCAGAGACTATAAAAACAACCCCTCTGAGACCAACTTCCTGGAATCATTAAGAACCCGGGCACAAACAAGACAGCTGCTACGTAAGAAGAAAAAGGAAGGCTTTGTCAACTTTTGTGAGAATCTATCTCCAAATACTAGTGCAAAAGAAGTTTGGAGCAGTATTAGAAGGTTTGCTAAAGGTATCAGGTACCAAAATTATCATTTTCCCTTGAATTTCTCAATCCCACAAGATATGTTTGATCTTTTGACGCAACCTCCCTCAATGTTGCCTAATATCCCCGAATGTCGCTTCTCATCAGAATATACAGAAGACTTCCATATCTCAGAATTTGTCGCGGCCGTTAAAGGTCGGAAGAGCAAGAGTCCCGGTGTGGATAAAGTACCTTTCAGTGTGCTCAGCCATCTCCCTGTTGAAGGAGCAGTCTTTCTTATCAAATTTTTCAACAAAATACTTCGGAGGGAAACCACCATTCCAGAGACGTGGAAAACCCAAATGGTGATCGCAATTCCTAAACCGGGGAGAGACCCCTCAGCGTTATCGTCCTACAAGCCCATCAACCTAGCTTCTTGCATAAGCAAAACTTTTGAAATTATGATCAAAAACCGACTGGAATGGTTCGTAGAGAACCAAGGTTTAATAGACGTTCGCCAAACCGGTTTCAGAAAGGGCAAGGGAACTTTCGACAATCTTGCAGTTATCTCCTCAGAGGTCCTCTGCCGTTTGGCTCTCAATCAAATAGCAGCAATGGTGACTTTGGACATATCCAATGCCTACGATAATATAAATGTTGACTTATTGACCTCGGTGTTGGTCAAAATTGGAATCGCCAGAGATTTGACTTTGCTCATTAAAGATTTTCTCACGAACAGGAAGATACAAGTTAAACATCCATCTACTAATACATTCGTGTCAGGCAGAACCACTAGCAAGGGAGTTCCCCAAGGTTCCCCTCTTTCTCCAGTACTATTTAATATTTACATCAATTCAATCAAAGAAACAATTCCTGAGAACATAAGACTTACAGTTTGCGGACGATACCGCCTTGCTGAGTACTGGGACTGATGCCCAAACAATAGTGAACAATTTGAATAGAACTTTGCAAAATATACATATTTGGTCTTTGAATGTAGGACTTGAGATTAACCCCAATAAATCTGCAGCTATATTTTTTTCCAGGAAGAATTTCAAGGTTAATTATCTCCCCAGACTTCACCTCAACACTCGAACCATTGCATGGACAAATTCCATCACATATCTAGGAGTGATTTTTGATCCAAAACTGTCATGGGAGTCACAAATTAGAAATATGATACAGAAAGCTTCAGGTGGGTTGAATATGATGCGATTTATAAGTAGAATCTGGTGGGGGGCACATCCCTCTACCCTTCTAACTTTTTACAAAGCTTATGTTAGACCCCATTTGGATTATGGAGCCTCTTTTTTGGGTGGTAGCTCAAGAAAGTCTATTGCTCAACTTAACAAAATTCAATTTGAGGCACTGAGAATAGCTCTGGGATATATGAAGTCCACACCTACTAACATACTTCTAGGGGAAGCAAGTGAAATGGATTTAGAACACAGAAGATACATGCTAGCGACTAAATCATTATTGAAAGCTGCCAGTTTAGTGGACAGTGAAACCTTAGCTGCGGTTAGATGGTTATATATCACCTATAATGAAAACTATTACTTTTTTCGGAAAAAGAGTATTCCTGCACTTGTGGATGCTTTTGAAAGAGTTGATTCACTGTTAGATACACTTTACAGGAGCCCAGTTTATCCCTGTTTTTCTTACCCACTGCCGAACCTTTTAAGCTCTGTTCAAATCCAAGACTTAAAACTAAAGAAAGATAATAATAACTCCAAATTATTTGAAATTAAGAAGAGCGAGACTTGGACCCCAGATTTTCATTTAATTTTTACAGACGCCTCAAAAGATAAAGAAGGCCGAGTAGGTTTTGGCGTTTACAACTACAATACGAACCTTAAAATGGGACAAGGCCTACCAAGTGAACTATCCATTTGCTCTGCCGAGATTTATGCTATTGGTCAAGCTCTTGATTGGATTGAATTCAAGGACATCAACAAAGCAGTCATCCTTTCAGACTCCAAAAGTGCCCTCGAAGATATCAATAAAACTGGGATGGATGCAAAGTCTAACTACCTAACCTTGCAGGTTAAGAATAAACTATTTACCTTAATAAAAACGCAAAATAAGGACATCCAATTATGCTGGATACCAAGCCATACCAGTATAAAAGAAAACGATATTGCGGACCAGATCGCCAATGCTGCGCGCCTGGAACCACAGGAAAATATAAAATTGAGCTTTAGGGAATTCTTCCCTAAATTAAAGCATAACATCTGGAATGCTTGGAGCGACAGATGGAAACATATAGGATTAGGGAAAGGAGTTAATTTCACCTCACATTATTCTACTCCGCCAACTAAACCCCGGTTTCATAAGCTCGACCTGAATAGAAAAGAAATCACAACTATGTGTAGACTGAGAAGCAACCATTGCTGTTCTCCGGCTCACCTAAATAGAATCAAAGTCAAACTCTCCGGAGACTGTGAATGTGGAGAACTGGGCGATTTAAGTCATGTGCTGTTTGATTGTGCTCTTCATTGGGAAAAATCACAACAGTTGTATGAGTCACTCATTAGTGCTAATTTTCCTTCGCCTCTGCATATTAATTCCATTTTATTTCACCGCACTCATTTGGATTTTGCTGCTAGAATTGTTTGCCGCTTTTTAGATGCATGTGGATTAAAACTTTGAATATTGTTTTCACATTTTCTAATTCTTTCGTCCATTTTTTTTCCTGTATAGCCGTCCAGTAGGATGATGGTATCACCCAGACCCTCTTTACGGAGGCATCCTTCATGGAAATAGTTTATTGCACACCACTACCGAGAAGCTGGCCGAATTGCCTTAGCAGCAGTGGCCAAATAAAGCGTAAATAAAAAAAAAAAACCTCTCCAAATTGGCCAAATAAAGCGTAAAAAAAAAACTCTCCAAAAAGCAACAAGTGTAAATAAATGAAAGCAAGGGACAAGAATAGAAATTGTCGTTAGTTCGGAAATAAGAAGGAATACAGGACGATCGTCTCGTGCAATCCAACCGCATTCCGCAGTAACATCTTAAATTGCAGCAAAAATGCAAGGACTTACACTTATTTACATTTATTTTAGGACATGCAAACCACACCAAGCAATTAAACAGTTACCGTGTGTTCGAACAGAATGAAGTAGCAATACCAGTAGTTTTGAGGATTAAGACAGTGTGTAATTGTGAGAATAAAACATTTAATAGGTAGTCTCTGAGCATTATTAACCTACATGTGAGAAACATAAGTCGAAATAGCCAATGACAAATTGAACCCGTTACACTCCCCCTCTTCTTCGGAAGGAAGTTTAATTTCATAGAAAAGTAAACCGACGACAACCGTAAAGCCAACCAGGTCAAACTAGGACGCAATACTCGCAAAACTCAAAACCAGATGTGAACAATGACTCCGCAAAAATCACCAAAACAATACTAGTAAAAACCCGAAATTAAAAAACAACGACTTTGAAGATTCTCCAATGAAGCGGAACCCGCATGAATCCGACCAGTCCAATGAGACATCTGGGCACACCCGGAAGGGAGCAACATCCAAAGAGTAAAATGACTTACAACTCTTGATGAAAAATGGATGTTAGCCAGCATTGCGTTACCACCAACCAAGACGGGGGAACCTCGTTTACTGGCCCCCTACAGACTGTAACCAAATGCAGCATCAAACCCGCCAAAATCCACCGGCACTCGTACCAATTGAATATGCTCAAAGGGCGGAAAACCAAAGAAAATCCCAACCCCGTTAAAGGAAAATCTGAAGAAAGAAAAAAAAAACAAGTAACCCGCTCTGCGATTTGGGGCGAAGTTGGGTTTTCCTACACAGCAAAAACAAGCCCATAAACCTTTGACTCATTGACTGTGTTAGACAAAGTATCTCTAAATCTTCTAAAAGAAGGGATAGCCAACTCAGAACACAGCAAAAAAGAAACCAAGACTCAAGCAAAAGTTGAAATACACTATGGACAATTGTTTTCTAAAGAAAAACAAGAATTGCCTTACAACAAATGGAAACCTTGATTTCACCATTCGTGATGAGAGTGAACAACAGATATTCCGAGGTTTCGAACAACTTGAGCACCTTTGTAACTTTTTAGAAAGATCCAATGTAAATCCCTCACTACTTACATGTTGGAATCAAGGAACCTTGATATACTGCTATAACTGCATTGCAAAGGAAACCCTTCAAACCTTATTAAAGAAATCTAAAATTGCTGAAATGGTTTCAGACAATGAGATAGAACCAGCAGGTCAACCACCTAATGCTGACATCATCATCATTGTACTAATGTTAATATCCATTGTATTTGCTTTTATTTACATCAACCTTCTTAGGACTGGCAAAACAAAAAATCCTTATATTCCTACAATAATACTTTTTGTCCTGCCTTTGATAATACTCACAGATATTGTAGTAAAATTGCTAAAAGTGTCAAACCAATAATTAAATAGGTTCATCAATATAGATTTTGTTATTATAATAATATTTAATTATAGTTTCTTTTATAAGAATTGCATTTTCAAAAACCATTGTTAGTTGTATTGTGTTGTTTTAAGGATAAAAGAAAAAAAAATGAAAATCCCAAAATTAAATACAGCAAATGCAAACTCAATAAGGTCTAAGACAAATTCGAACCCATCCCCCTTCAAAAAAAAAGAAAAAGTGTCAATGGCAATACACCAATAGGGAGCAATGAAGAAAAAAAACAAATTAAATAATTAGTGTTAAGTACTCAAAATCTTCAATAACTAATATTCAAAATTACTCGCTGGCAAAAATATATGAGTGACCCCGCATTGATTCAAAATTCAAATTCAAAAATATAGCCAAGTATTTTTTTGCAGTTCGAACCAATATACAAATCCAAACTGACGGCCTATTAACTTAAAACTCAATAAACTATAAAAAATTGACAGAAATATTTAAAAACCTATAAAAACAACGAACCTAAAAAATAATAAATTTTACACGTTGGGTGCTAAAAAATTCCCAGAAAATTTACACATTGGGCGTTAAAAAAAAATTACACGTTGGGCGCCAGAAAAATTGCCACGTCTTTTCCACTGAAGGTGGAGGGGAGACCGAAGCAATCCTACTATACTTTGCACACTTTGCTACCGATTGGAAGCAGTAAGTATAGGGCCCAAGCAGCTCAGTTTCTCAAAATATGGGCGGGGTATAAAAAAGAAAGTAAATAAATCAAAGGTTGGAAACCGGGACGCCAGCTATGACAAAACCCCAACCTATACTATGGTGCTGGCAATACGATGTTCGTTTGCAACATCACTAGGGTCAATGGGCCAATAATGACAGAATTTAATAAACGCAAGGAGACTAAATATTACCTAACTACTACCCGCTATTACCAATAATAATCAATTATTACACACACATGAATGAGATTACACAGTAACGTCTTACGAAATTGAAGACGAACGTGTGCCAAAGGTCGAGTGCTCAACTGTACTAATGGCAGAGTGCTTTCGCGTTGACAGAGGATTGAGATATAACCTCTCCAAACTTTTTTTTTTTTTCGGTCAACCAGGTGAAGTGGTGTGCACAATTTTACCTCGGTCCGAGAAAATTTTCATTTTTTTGACGTAATTCTAGTCTTCAACTGAATTTTTCGGTCTGGGTGAGTTTTATATTTAGTCAGCCGTTAATATTTGCTTTGGTTTGGTGTCGCAGTTCGCAATAATTTAGCGCTTTTCATATCATGGCATGTGCTTCGGGGGGTAAAGACCCCCCTGATAGAAACGATCGTATCGTAGTTAATAATCCGATAGTGTTTGCAAATGATTTTGATTCCTTTCAAGCTCAACTAAACTTGTCCCAAGCTTCTACCTCCTCTAGCAGTGGTTATTCATCAGCCTTGACGCTTTCGCCTTTAGCTAAGAAAACAGCACATGCTATCGCTCAGCATCAATACTTCTTAGTACCCACTAAGGAGGAAATAGATTTATTGGAGACAGAGTTACAAAAGCTTAAATCTGTCTTCGTGGAAGATCAGGATGCCCTAAACGAAATTGCAAGAATTTCAGTCAACATAAGGAGAACACTTAACCGAAAGTATAAGTATGAACTTACAGACCAGGGACCATTTCTTATCATAATGGAGGGAATAACTTCTCAAGTTGGAAACATTCACCCGATGAATATTGGAAAAATTTTGCACAGAGCTGGAGTACAAGGTATAACAAAAATCAATAGAAAAGGGGCTAATAAAATTGGAATTGAATTCAGAACATCAGAGTATGCTAATCAGTTTTTGTCAAATGAAAGTTTCAGTTCTGCTAGAGGCTATAATAGGTACATTCCACAACGTCTTGTCACTTGTAGAGGACTAATCAAGGATGTAGGGGACCAAATTACGGAAGAGGATTTTTACTCAGAAGCGGTAGCTTATACAGGAGAAGGATCCCGGGCCAGGTTGATTAAGATATTAAATGTAAAAAGAGTCTTAAGAAGGAAGAAAATACTTGCTATTTCTGGTGAAACAGTAATGAAAACCATCCCCACAAACGATTATATTGTAACATTTGAAGGCAAATCATTACCCCAAACTGTAAATATTTTTAATAATGAAAGAGAAGTGGAAAAATATGTTAACCCGGTTATAATGTGCGTCAATTGTTGCAGATTTGGACATGTCAAAAATAATTGTAGAGGCAAGCCTCGTTGCGGTTTTTGTACAGAAGATCATCTTATGTTTGTTTGTCAAAAAAGAGAGCAAGCAATGAAAAAAATGAAATGCCCTGCAGATCATCTTAACAATCTGACTAAAACGTGTAAAATTCCAAATTGTGAAGTAAATCCAAAACCAAGCTGCGTAAATTGCAAGGGACACCACACTGCTACTGACTGGGGATGTCCCGAATACAAACGGCAAAAACAAATTAACGAAACCATGAGCTTCTACAACCTTTCTTTTTATGAAGCAGCTAAACTGCATCCACGGCTAATTAATGCAAACCAAGGCTTTACCCGAAAACCAGAAGATTTTCCTAGTTTAAATAAAAAAACTCAGAATAAACCTCCTCATCCAACAAGTCCTCAGGGCTGTTCCTCATATACATCAGTACTTAAAAGAAAACGGCCTGACACCCAATTTACCAAAGGGTATGATAAAGTAGCCCATGAACTAACTTTGTTACCCTCAAGTGCAAGAAGAAAAGTCTCATCTATACAAGTAGTTGAAAACTCGACATCAGAGTCGGAAATGGAAGTAACTCCTGTAGGAAATGGCTGGGAAGAAGTATGCAACAAGTTTGAAGCTTTCAAAAAAGACGTTATGTCAATAAAGGGTATGGATGAAAATTGTGTCAACAATATCAAACAATATTTTGGTTCATTTGACCTACGGAGGGGGGGCGGCTGCGATGGCAGCGGTTGACCTACAGGGGTTAGAAAAAGCAAAGGTAATCTTAT